TATTGTGTCAAAAATGATAACGCTTTTTTGTAAGACCGTTAGAAAGTCTTAACATATCAAGAGTAAACACATGTGTTTGGTGCAATTTTCACATTTGTCACAGCCAGTAACGCTACTTCGGCTTTCATATACTCCATGGTCATCATTTACTCTTAGTCAGGACTGTTTCCGGCGCATTTGGTTGTCAGCGGTTGTGCGAAACGTTTTCATTCATTGGAAACGATGAATTCAACCAAATATACATAACATTCATGAATGCCGCGTGAAAGGTCTTGGTTAATCTATCCCAGGGCACTTCTCTTTTCAAACTTTGTCAAAACATTGATAGAGGAATAGATTGGAAACTAAAACCTTATCATTATTACTGAAATTAGATGGCCTTGTTCCTAAAGTCAATTATTCCTTGTCATTATGTGTCTATGGTTGCCTGAAGGAGAAATAACTGTGTTCACGACTTCAGGCTAAACAGATGACTTGTCTGTCCGACTTTCCTGACTCCAGGCGTTCTTGTGACAGCTAGTTCATGTTAGAAGTGACATTCCAACTCTAGAGCAGTCCGCTGACAATGCAAGGTGTTGATTATGATCAGGACAGACTGGGGAAATCAAACCGGCGCCACAGATGCCGGCTTCAGCACCAAGGTCAGACACCACTGCAACAGTCTAGTAGGTAGAGTGCTCGCTTTGTATTCAGAGGGTCGCGGGTTCAAACCCCGGCCGGGCCATACCAAAGACTTCAAAAGATGATAAATACTACTTTCTCTACTCAGCAGTTTTAAGGACTGAATATTCGTTGTAGTGCTTCACCCTACATACCAAGAAGTGTTGGAAGGGTGTTAACTTTTTTAACCACCAAGACTAGACAGTGAATTGAACTGAGCAGAGTTTTAGTAAACCTCTGCATTGCCACAGATTCTTTGGTGGTGATAAAGGAATATAGTTAAATGTGTACATAAAAAAATGGTTGTACTATAGACTGGTAACGTCGACACAAATGTGACTTACATTAGGTTATGTAATATTTCTTAAATCTTCAAAGAGGATTTTCAGCAGTGCACGCGACGTCCTGTCTGACATTTGCGAACAAGAAAAACATTTTTGACGTTTCCAAATCCATAATCAATTGTAGTCATTTTGAACGCCTTCACAATAAAGGAGCTTCCAGTGCTATTTTAGGATCACCGACGATTGGAATTTTTGCCATGTATTTGCGATGGCTATCCAATAAATTCCTTGCTTTGCGATGCAAGTGGACTTAGACAAGCCATAGGTTTCTTAAGAACAAAGATAGAGTCGAACAATAAAGAAAGCTAAAAGTTCTGACGTACGTTTAACCACAGAGACCCTTCGGGACCGGTTCTGTCTTCTGTCACCATAACAGACGCGTGATGGCGTGTGGAGTTAATTGTTCCCAGTTCTACCAACGTGCTGTTTGTATGAATTATTCACGCAATGGAAGCGATACATTAGGCATCCGGTAAAGAAAGAGGTGATCTGTTCTGACAGTTTCTTTTTGCTGTTGTCGGCTGCCCATTGTGAGAGAGCAAACATCGCAGGGCAGATCTAGAAACAGTTTTGTTCATTTTCCTGCGACGACCATCATGGCGATGAAGACTCTTTCACTGTGGCTGCTTGTCGTCTGTCTGGTAAAGACGGGTACGAAACTTTTCATGATTTCTTCTCATTTGGTAGTTTTATACTTGAACATTTAGTCATCAAATCTTTGGTGGAAGAAACTTATTTTCAGTAATTCTTAATTATGGTCTAACAAGGATTTCACTTCAATCTTTTTCTCTAGCTAACCGACATCTATGACACCACAGTCGTCCCTCAGTAAGACATCTGGAGCCGCATAGTTCCCGTTTATTCAGCTTGTCACACAACCGGTTTCGATCTGTGGGGTTCTTCAACAGTACAGAGGCTTAAAAATCCAGTTCACTACATGTTTGTATTCTTTCTTTTCGTGTATCTTCCAGGCGTGAGTCTGAAGTGTTACTCCTGCGAACAGACGCACGACAACCGGCTGTGTAACACAGACAAGTGGCTGGTGGACTGTCCTCAGGCCGAGATGGACACCTGTATGACAACCATCGATTACGACAGTGAGTTTACATTCAAACTAGAGTAAAAATCCCCTTAATGCGGCATTATGTAACATAAGGACGATACAAAATGTCAATTTCCTGGTCATTTCTTTAGAAAGTAAGTTGAATCAACCCTACTCAATTGCAAACATGTGCCATTCGAGAAGTGGAGGTTAAATGATATTACATAATACGAAAGCTGGAAACACAGCTGGCAACCATGTTTATTTACATTCTGGTGTTTTGTGGTGGTGCCACAAAATGAGCGTGCTTCGTGTTAACGCCAAATGTCACAAATGTGAGATAATCATCCGGCACAAGTATGTTGAGAAATTGAGGTAAATGGCAATCACATAAATCATATGAAGATGTTTGTTACATAATGTTACATAATGCCCCTTTAAAGGTGCTCAACGTAAGATATTGGGCATCATAACTGACAGCACTAAAGACTAACGAAATATGTATCTTGAATCACTGCAATTACAATTGCAATCACTACATTACTGCATACACAACTCTTAAACAAGAGTAGCGTAGTGTAGATGGCTCAGCTACTTCCAGCTGAATGAGAATGACAGATTGTGGGCCATTTTATATCTCTGACGTCATCGCTTGTTGAGATAGATCAACAACTCGCGTGATTCTAACAGGAAACCGTCAGGAACAATTAGGACACCAATCAACATCCTACAGACATCATACATGTAGTCTGCTCTGTTTACATGGATACCAACATTCAGGGATAACAGTTACTCATAAGAATGATTGATTATCTACGACTGTTATAAGACTGAAGGAAGAAGGCTTCACATATAGATGGGACATAAAAAATACACATTATGTGTGTTTTTAATGGGGGGGATAGACTATAAAGTTGGTAATTTGTCAAAACGTTAGAGGGGGTAGATAGTCACTACAGGAGTCTGCCGGAGCCTAACTGAGAATGAATGAACGAACGACTGACAGACGAATAGATGGATGGATGGATGGATGGATGGATGGATGGATGGATGGATGGATGAATGGATGGATGGATGGATGGATGGATGGATGGATGGATGGATGGATCAATGAATGAACGAACGAACAAATGAATGAACGAACGAATGGATGGATGGATGAATGAATGAAAAAAATGGGCGAACGAATGAATGAATGATAGAATGAATGAATGACTGAACGACGCTCCCTCTGTTGCAGAGAGCCGTGAGCCGTGGCACCAGAAGATGAAGATAGAGAAGACGTGTTCCGTGAAGTCTGCCTGTGAGCTGGAGCAGGAGAGCGGGCTGCCGTGCTGGCGGGCGGACATGACAGGCGACCAGTACGCCTGCGTAGACTGCTGCTTCGAGGACAAGTGTAACATCGGCGGGGCGGCTGCCGTGGTACCGCTGACGTCACTGCTGTGGGGGCTGGTGGCGGCGGTACTCGGGCTGGTTAACATGAAATAAGTACTTCATGTTGCGTTGGAAGTACTTCATGTTGGTCTCTTATACTGGAAGAATACCTGTCAATTCATGTTAAGTTACTAGTCAGGTGGAATTAAGACTCTAACAAAGATAAAAAGCTACGTAATAAATATTACACAGGACGGGGTTCTTAGTCAAAGGATGAGCGACCAAAATCATTGGTCACTGAGATCACGGACTGAAAATCACTGAAAGATTATTTAAAGATAATTGGACGACCATGTCCTAGTTTTAGAATATTATGTAAATACAACATATCTTATCCAACATCTTAACCACAGGACTTCTGTTTAGCACCCTAATGATCAAATATCACCACGCCACCATGCGGCAAGGAGTGGTGGATCCGGAGTTCATTACGCCCCGATAAAACATTGTTTGGTAGAAACTTTAACATGTGTGCAATATGTATCATAAGCAAGTATCAAAAAGTTAACGGGCGTATGACCTGCATGTACTTTCCGTGATTGATGATTTTATTTGGTGCTTACGTATCACCTGTTGTAACTACATGTTTATAAGGAAATAAACATGACGTCCATAAATTACATATTATATCATATAATATAAATAATACCAATGTGAACTCAGTGCCTGGACTCATCTTTACACACGCTCACACACACACACACACACACACACACACACACATGGATGACCCTTCATGATCAGTACCACCTTAAGGAAACTAGTGCGGGGACATGTGAGGAAAGTCGGAAATCGTCCCAGCGGTCGATAACCTGTGTCCTTACGGGTGTCCTTTCGGGCGGTCTTTAGTCATCAAATGATACTCAAGCAGGGAAAGTCTTATTAAACCTTTGATATCCGTCCTGCTCTTCTGACTAACTGCAATACCAAGTGCGATACAATCCGGAAACGTTATGATATCCCCTTTCAACATCTACTTTGACTTAAGAACAGTTAGAGTCAGCCTTTAACAAATGTAGGTCACCTGTCAGGGGTCACCGATCACCCTGTCAACAATAAATAGTGCTGAATTCGAATGAACTGTGCACTTTGTACTTTGCACTCTTCACGGGTCAGTTACAGGATCAGCTGAGAAAACACGAGGCAGCACGTCGCACAAAAAAACTTGCGCGTTTCTCTGGCACTAATCTCCCTTCCAGATTTTTGTAAGGCTGTACTGAAAGCCGAGAAGACGACAGGTGTCTCGGCCCGCTGCAGTCTTGAAACCAGCAAGACTTCTGTACCAAGGACTTCAGGTATACTAAGTGTTCATAACATGCACGTAGGAATGCAAAGAATATCTTTTACTTTACATCCTCTTTACTTTATTTTACAAACAACCTCTAGTCTATCATTATAGATAATGTAGTTAGAGATACTGGGGCTATGTGCAGTTGTTTTAACAGTGAAGTTACTTAAAAGTAACTTCACTGTGACACGTACAACACTGGAGTAATATCACGGACTTTGGAACCGGCATACTATGTACGTTAGTATAGGAGGGGGCGGGGCACATCGTACCACTGAGGTAGAATCTACTATTTTATAACATAACATATAAATGTCACAACAATTTGTTACTTTCATTGTTCACTCTCTGCAAATCCACATGTGCACTTTAATAGCTTTAATCTTATATTAAGTGATATTAATAGTGATATTCTGTGCTCAGTTCTCTGTTGTTAGTGATTGATGCATGAGTTCTAGATCACCTTGTTGGGGGTTCAAGTGAAACCACCTGTTAAGGGTTTCAGCATACTGGACTTTCCTGTCAAAAATAGGCCATAGTAGCAATCAGTGAGAAAGAACACTGCAAACCTATAAATTACTACATGTAAAAATGACAAGAAAATTGAGTTTGCAAATTCAATTTTTGCTGCCCTGAATTCTCTTTGTGTGCCTTTTACAATTACTTACTAGTCATTGTAGCTACTGGACAATGTAATGTTATCTATTCCATTCTTTTGTTGTGTGTACAATAAAGGTCTTCATTCATTCATCATGATAAGGACTCTAAATCTAACACCATAACTAGAGAAGTAACATTTGCAAAGCAAATGCATAATGTTTACCTTCGGACATGGTCTGCCCTGTTAATTTTTACTCAAACATATTCACATACATGTACTACTAGTATATGGTGACAGGAGCAGAGCAGATCATGAAGTTTGCAACATTATGTAACCCAACACCAGTCACCATGGTGGCAGATGTCAACAAATCATGTCATTGGCCAGGTCAGAGGTTAGTATTTGGAGAAGAAGAGGAAATTGAGTATAACGTGTGTCCTATGTCCCCAGTATGGAGTGGCTGTACTGGGTGGAACACGCCGTCATGTCTCTCCTCCTGGCCGCCCTGGTGCGACTGGCGATGACGGAGGGCTGGCAGGGCGTGCTGCGGGCGGTACTGGTCGTCCTACGCTACATCCCGGGGGTCGGCGAGGTCATCAACTGGGTCATCCGCAGAATGGCCGTGCAGTTCGCACCACAGCTGACAGGAGCACAGCAGGACGGCAGCAAGAAGGACAGGAAACCTCCACGGGTGGTGCTGCCTAAAAAAGGTCACGTCAATACCAGAAAATCTGTGAACATTTCCGTCAAATGTAGACTATTTTTTACTTCCCATTGCTGGTGAACTTTAACCATTGCATTGTTATATACACAGTGTATATATAGTTCCATCTAGTGCTGGGTTCACCATAAATGCATTGTTATATACACTGTGTATACAACATGTAGTTCCATCTGGCAGTGCCTCCTAGCTAAGAGTGACTAGCACTGCAGCCTGTTTATCTATACAGTCTTGTAGGTTTCTAGTGATGATACTGGTATTTGGTATTCTTCGAATCCATAATTGCATTTTCACCTATCTATCCAAGGAAATTAGAGGACTTTCTGACTTGAGCATGAATACTCAGCCATGAGCTACCACTGATAATGATGATCCAAGGAAATTGCTGTTGAGAAGACAATAAACAATAACTACAGTTTGCTGCCATGTTTCCAGGCCAGTCCTATGATGCCATAGTTCAGGAGATGAAGAAGTTACAGAAAGAGAAGGACACAGACCCTCATGCTGGGAAGATGTTCGCCTATGTCTACACACTGGAAGATGATGCCTCTAAAGTACAGAAGGTACTCATAAACTAGTTTTGGGCAGGAACTGCAAATTAATCCGTAAATAAGGTCCTTTATACAACACAACCAACAAGACCTGTACCTGAGCCATATAGAATAGGTCTGACATTTGAAAAAACATTCTTACTGCAGCAGGAACAAAATAACTGCATTTAAAAGTATAGTATAGAGTTCATTAAGCCTTGAGGAGTGTATGAGTGTAGGTCAGGCATTTTAGTCTTTCAGGATGTGTGTAAAGTAATAAGAACCTTGCATTTTCAATGCCAATAAACAGTGTATGGTATGCTATCTGCTTGTGGGTAAATGCTAGTATTGTGCTATGTTGTTTTCCTAACTGATTCCTGTACTGTTTTCTGTCTGCTCAGGAGGCAGTGGACATGTTTATGGAGCAGACAGGACTCGGAGACGACCATGACCGGTTTGTACGAGAAATCTACCAGTCCTTCATCCACACCAACGTGCTCAACCCTTTTGTCTTTCCTGCTCTCAGGTATGTAGGCTTGTACCAGACATAGTGGCATTTACAAAACACGTGTTTGTGTGTGCATGCTTGCATGGATGTGTGTGTGTGTGTGTTTTGGGAACAGGACAGGATCTAAGATCTTAAAGCTTATGATTATCATAAGGGAACACTGTTCTTTCATGTGTGCGTGAGTGAGTACGTGCATGCATGTACATGTATGTTTTAGCAATAGGAGCTTAGATCTAATAGGAGTTTAGATCTAAATTAACTGCTAGTGTCAAAGATCATATACATTGTATGAAATTCAGGTACATTCATTTGAGGTTGAAGTAGTAAACAGTAACAACCTTACATGTAACTTTTTGTCTGATATTAGTCATTTTTTCAATCTACCCATCTGTAGGCGGTTTGAGATAGAGACAGTGAGCATGGTGGCATCATTTCTCCATGGCGATGACCAGGTGGTGGGTTCACTGACCTCAGGTGGGACAGAGAGTATCCTGATGGCAGTGAAGTCATACCGAGACAGGGCCAGGAAACTCTTCCCACAGATCACACAGCCGGAGATGGTCAGTCTCGTACAGTAACACAATATCAGCAAAACTCTTCCCACAGATCACCCAGCCGGAGATGGTCATTCTCATACAGGAACAATATGAGTAATCGCTGTTTTTGTTTACATCATGTGCATGCTTATTATTTGAAGGCATATGCAAATTATTGGTAGGCAAATCACTCGACTGTCACCTGTTTTTTGGATACCACTCGCCTAACTTATTGGAGACTGTTTCCCTCAGGTTGCACCCATCACCATCCACCCTGCGTTTGAGAAGGCTGCGTCATACTTCTGTGTGAAGATGGTGCACGTTCCTGTTGGGCCAGACTTCAGGGCAGATGTCAAAGCTATGGAACAGGTACAATGTACACTCATGGACAGAGTTGTTTTTATGCATAACATAAATATTTTGTTACCTTTGTATATTGAGGTTTTGTTTTCAGTGGGTCTGCTTGTGTTTCCATGTTTTTCCATATGCTAGGCATGTCAGGGACACTGTCAAGATGTTAGGTAAAAAATCCCAGAAAGGTCCCAGAAAAGGTTATCTCCTTGACTGTCTTTCAATTTCTTGCTTTATCCATATTTTTTTGTGTTATGGGAGCCAGTAAGAAAATGCAGACAGAAACAGAAAGTCTAGAAATTTCACAGAGGGATGACATCTCTGATTTCCTTTTTCTTGTTACCCTGAGTAAATCAAGGCATACCACTCTTGTCCAGTTTTGTACTGTAAGGAAAGCATTCAAAAGACCAGACTAATACAGTTCTGCTCACACCAGGATGGACTGCCACACTTATCAATAAAGGCCTTGGGCTCTTTAACTTGTTTGAGATGTGGCTGAGACTCCTCAAACACAGACTTATTATCCCCAACAAGTACTGTGCACAATGCAAAATGACAATATTCCTACCTTTGCCTATTTCCTGCAGGCCATCACAGGGAACACCATCCTGCTGTGTGCCTCTGCCCCCCAGTATTGCCATGGTATAGTGGACCCCATCCCGGATGTGTCAGCCCTGGCTCTCAGGAGAAAACTGCCGCTACATGTGGACGCCTGCTTTGGAGGATTCATGTTACCATGGTGAAATACTTTTGTTGGTTCAGCTACTCTTTTTGTAGAGCAATAACATTGTAGACACGCTAAAAATACCTTTTTTTTCTACTGTACATTAGCTGCATGCACGGGTGCAGAGTCTCTGCATCTTCAATTAAGGATAGTTAAATGCAAGTACATGTATGAGGACTGCAGAACTATCTTCTACCCTACTTTTCCTAGTGTTGAAGTACTGGCCAGCACCCTTTCCTATACTCTCCTTTTGCTTAATGCTAAAGAACCTTCTCACACCATGTACTATCCTGTACCACCCCTTTTCTTGGTGCTGAAGTACCTTCCCTGACATGTACTATCCTCTACTCTCCCTTTCCTTGGTGCTGAAGTACCTTCCCTGACATGTACTATCCTCTACTCTCCCTTTCCTTGGTGCTTAAGTACCTTCCCTGACATGTACTATCCTCTACTCTCCCTTTCCTTGGTGCTGAAGTACCTTCCCTGACATGTACTATCCTCTACTCTCCCTTTCCTTGGTGCTGAAGTACCTTCCCCACCCTGTACTATCCTGTACCATCCCTTTGTTATACAGATTTTGTCCATACAAATAAAGAGGGTTAGATAAGGATAATTTGATAACGGATAACTCATCTACAGAGGTTGTAGGGACGTTTGAGGGAAATATGAATTCTCAAAACTCAAACTTTGTTCCTGTTGAGATAGCTATTTTGTACATTCCAGACAAAGTACGCAGGCTCATTTTAAAATCTTTCCTCCACACTTTGCAGGGTTGAAAAACTGGGGTATCCTGTCCCAACCTTTGACTTCAGGAACCCTGGAGTGACCTCCATATCAGCAGATATTCATAAATATGGATATGGGGTGAAGGTAGGCTTCCTCTAACAATGTGAATTCATTTGGACATTACATGTTGTTAATTGGCCAAAGTATGGATTATATAATTTGATAGTTTGAAACATCTGGTAGAGTTCAGGTTCTCTGTTTTCTAAAACTCTGTTGACATTAAAGCCAAAAGCACTGTTTGTATCATACAAGTCTTATTCTGTGATGGTGAATAACTGCCCTAACTGAAGTGTCTGTTGTTGCCTGCAAACTAGCGACAAAACATACTATTTTTAACTTTATAATGTGTGTGTGTGTAAAGAAAAGAATCTCTGTTTTCATACCCTCAATTCATTCAATGTGCAACTTTGCTGTAAAAGCTCTGTCTAGTGGTAACACAATGTTTGACAGCGTGTACTGATATCTGACCTGTAGGGTGCGAGTGTGATTCTGTACAAGTCCACAGACTTCTGGCGCTACCAGCTGTTCTCCTACTCCGGCTGGCCGGGGGGGATATTTGGGTCATGTTCCATGGCAGGGTCCAGGCCAGGTAAAACACATCTCAAGTTTCCTTTAATTTCTTACAACTTAAACATATGACATCAAAGAAACTGTAACTACATTTTTCACTCAGTCTCTGTATTTTTATCTGTCAAATTTATCTTTAAAACTGTTACTGTTAGGAGAAAGCCTAATTCTCTAATTTTGTGACATTATCAGGAGGAAACATTGCAGCAGCCTGGGCAGTCCTAAAGGCAATGGGTGAAGACGGTTACATGAAAACAGCTCAGGAAGTCATGGAAACAACAGAGTTCATGATCAACAACATCAGGAACATCCCAGTATGTATAGTGCTGTATGACTTTAATTCTTAAACTTGAGACCAGAATCGAGAAAAGACGTTGGTTACATGACAATAAGGCTTGTATGCTCCTTGATTCTGAATATATTTTTTGCTGCAGCTAATTTGAGTCACTCTCATGTCACTTTTCTTCCATATTGATCCTAGTACAAAGGGATAAAAATTCATAAACATTGTTGCAGTTTAGAACATAATGGCATTCCAGTAAAGAATGGTAAAGGACATTTAAATGTGAAGATGGAACTAAATGGCTTCAACCTGTTGAATAAGACTGCCAAGAGGCTTACACCTCCAGGATAGGTAAACTGGTTCTTGTTGTGCTCTGCCACAGGGCCTGTGTATTCTAGGAGAGCCTCATATGACAGCCTTTGCAATTGGCTCCAGAGGAGTCAACATTCTGGCACTTGCTGATGAGATGGAGAGTAAAGGTGGGGCAGATCATATCTTATCTGTGTGTCTTAAAGAATAGACAAGGAAACAACAATGATGAAACGGGATACATGTGTGAATTTTTATTAGCACTAATGTTCTGGTAGTTATACAAATTGGATGGCAAGAGACATCAAGGAAACAAAGTCAACAACCACAGAACCTTTCCATCTACATTTGCACAAAACTTTACTTCTTCTACAGTACAGTTACTGTTACAGTAATCCAGGTATCAATGAAGATGATAAAAACAAAGTAGCAAAATGAAACTGCGATAAACAATCTGAGGAAGTCTGGTGAAACCTTTTTTAATCCTCGCCCATCTAGGGTTGTCTTTTGGTCCTTGGAGATATTAAACAACTTGAGGGTAATGCATGTCTTAAAAAGGTGTCCTACTGCTGAAAATTAAACCTTTCAAAATAGCTTTTGCAAACTCTGATGACAGATGCTACTTTCATTCCAGGCTGGAGGATGGAGAGGACCCAGAACCCTAATGGTATCCACTGTTCCATCATGCCTAGTCACACCAAGGTACGGGAGAAGTTCATAGAGGACCTCACAGCAGCAGCAGAGTATGTGAAGGTATGGATGCATGGATTGAGAGTTGACTAAGAATGCACTGAGAAGAAATAAATCATTAATGCTATGCACAGGCACTGTCCTGCATATACAGGTCACCAGGTATATTGTTTCTGCAATATCTTGTTTGCTTGCTGTAATATATCTTTTTCTATTACTTCAGATTCACAACAAGTCTTCAGAGGAAGGAGCATCTATGGCTTATGGCCTGGCTGGTCAAGTTCCAGATAAAGCTCTTGTAGATGACTTTATCAAGGAGATTTACATGGAGTTTTACACAAAGTGCTAGTCTGATACAAACTTTGTGGTCAGTTCTTTTTTAATTGTTGCAGTAATTTTGAGAATAATATCTTAACAACAGTCAAATTTGTGTCAAAGAATTACAGTGTCTGTTTTGAATATGATTTTCATACTGTCATTGCATAATTTTTGGTGGTGTTGAATGCCCGAGTGGTTGAGGTAGCGGAAACAAGATCGAGAGGTCACGGGTTCGATCCCTGACAAGCTGTGTCCTTGGGAAAGGAAGTTTACACATCTTTCCTCACTCCACCCAGGTGTAAAATGGGTACCTGACCTGACTTACTAAGTATATAGTTTGAGGAGGTAAAAGGCCTAATACCTTGCCCTAGACACAGTGGATCATTAACTAATCCATTGTTCCCTACAGACTGAAAGGCCATGGGACTACCTTTACCTTTTTTAAGTTCACATAATGGCATCACAAATGGAAAAAAATATGACAAGTAATAAAAACAAACTTAGATTTTGCAATTTCTATCTTGAAGATAATGTCAAAGTTGTTATGATTGAGATCTTCATTTTGTCTCTTTCTAGATAAAAGAATTGTTTTTTAAAGCAGCCCACTAATTGATATTGTGCTGTAATCTATCATTCTTTTGAAACTTAAATAATTAATGTATGAAAGTCCAATATTAAAATTTATTAAGGTTTCAAGAGAATATCTGAAAATTAAATCATCTGTATTTAGCTCATTATAATATTTGGTAATGAGCAAAATGCCACACCATTTTACAGAGAAAAGTTTGTGCTTCCTATCTTTTACCAACAAGTTGATACACCCAATAATTTCTAGTGTGCATAGATTTCCAAACTCAAAGTGACAAGTGTTATATTAACATCACCAATAACTTCAAGGTGATATCTTTCCAACTAGGATGTTTAGTAATTTACTTGATGTCAACAAAGTCAATGTGCAATATGAGCAACATTACAAGTGAACAAAAGTAGAAAGCAAGTTTTCAGAATCTTATAAAATCTTATAAAGAGTTATAGAGTAAGCAGTGTGACAGAAAATAAAGTTTCCAACCAAGGACTGTTTTTCTGACAGTTTTTGTTTACTTTGATTTTTGTTTCAGGCAAGGATTTATGTAAAAAAACTTAGCAGAAAGGGGAAGTAACATTGTAATTCAATATTTGTAACCTTTTCCGTGTAAAATGTGTCACATCAAGTGTTCATCTAGAGTAAATAATCTGAATTAGGATTATTTTACACTTAAGACAGTTGATTATAGTTATTAAATGGAAGTAATGAACATTGTCAAAGGACTTTTGCAAAAACAATCAGTCTGTCAAACAGCTCTCCCTGGCGCCCAATGTTATATTGCACCACTGAGTTGCCCACACACCTTACAAAACACTACCATGTCGATGTGTGCGTGCACAAGGAAGTTTACAAATGTTGTGTCGGAAAAGATTACAGTTATCATCTGCAACGGGCAAAATTCTGATGCAACGTTGACTAAACATCCAAAGAAAACTGAGAAAATCCGAGTTTCGCGCAGTTTTGCCGACGTACTGTACTTGCATGTGACGTTAGTATGTATGGAAGGTGTTCAGCACCAAGGACAGGACCTGGTATGTTTGGCTATGTGTGGATGGTGTTCAATGTTCACTGATCTCAATATGACCTCCTTTTACCCTTCCATGGCAGCGTTGACATGAATATTCTGCAAGCTTTCATGCCACAATTTGTGTTTTAACGACACAAAATGTGCATTTCGACTTCCACTGACAAATGATTGCGTATTATTCTTAACGAAATAATTGGCGACCAACAGGTGGGAACTACGTACCCACGAAGCTATGCGAATACGCGAACTCCAAGATGGCTGCCGAACATGGAGCGGGAGGAACTTCTGACTAAACTTCGTCCCTGGAAGGTGACAAACGTCTGTTTTAGGTGGTGAGTTGTGCTCAATGTTGTTCAGTGTATTCTTGTGACCATTCTTTGAGGAAACTTTCGTTAAGTTAACGCTGCAGAAAAAGTTTGTTGGCCGTTTTGACGTGGTGTAGCATGCTCCGGGCACACGACGATCGTAAACAACGAGCGAAGTACTTTGTAACGTATTTGCGATGAAAAGAAGCTTACTAGGCACTTGTTCTGCGTTCTCCGATATCCAACTTGACATAAACGCAGTGGACACAGTGAATTAACATGTATTTCCAATGATGGCTTTAAACGTTTAAGGAATAAAACTTTAAGGCACTTCTTTGCCTACTCACATGTTCTGGCTATGCTAGTGTAATTCATTGGTCGTTGGATTTTTGCATAAACGTAAAAAAACATGGAAGTTGTTTTTATTTTTGCATTGATAGCCTTATGATGAATAAATTACTGCAAGTGCTGAACATAATATATAACACACCAGTGAGTGACCTGTACTCTTGTTTTGTGCTCAAAAATAGTGCTACTATACAATAATTAGGTCCAGGTTTAGGTCTGGACCTGACCCTTTGAACCAGATCTGGACCTGAACCTGAATTTTCCATAGACGTATCCACCCCTACTGCACACATCTTGTATCTTGGATTTTTCTACAGGGTTGATACCTTTTTTCCTCTTTTCATACAACCATGTCCCCAGTAAGCCGTGTCCAGAGGGTTCCCCAGCTGTGCAGGTGTTCCTGACAAGATGAGACGTGTGATGACAGAAGCATCAGGTGAGTTAAATGTGCAGGTTAGACAACTTTCTTTTTTGTACGTGTTAAGAACTCTGAGATTTTTTGACTAGAAAAATGCAACTTCTTTTGCTCTTTTCTCAAGGATGCTGCATGGGGAAAAAACGAATTCTCCCATGTAACGATATACTAGCACTCAATCTTAACATTGCCATCCGGACATTGATCGGACACTAACGTCGCGGTCCGAACAACCTAACACCTTTCCTATACACTTTCATTCCATTTTGTTCCATTTCGCACTTTCTGTACACCATTATGTAGCATGAATCATTTCAATTTTTGTACTTGCTCGTTCTTGTCCTGATAGGTGACTTAGGAATGCAAAGTGATCATCTTGATCCAGTGAAAACTAATTCTGAAGACAGATGCTATGTACAGTATTTACAGGTTCATTGTGTGGGAGAAATTCTCGTAGGTCGTTTGAACCAAAGCACAATGAACAGTGGAGCATGGCTTAATGTCCCATCCAAACACCTGCAACTCTTTCCAGTAGTGTGCATGTTGAGGGAGCAACAACAGCCAGGATTCAAACTATATATTATCCAGTGTCACTTTATACAAGTCATGTACATGTGGCGTCTGTGTGGTGTAGTGGATAGAGCGTCCGCAAGCAAGCAAGAAGACCCAGGTTCAATCCCCAGGGTTGGACCCAGACATGTCCGGACATGCACCCAGATGTTGTGCCCTTGGGAAAGGCACTTAACATGCATTTCCCCCCTCAGTTAGAGGGATCCTGAGCCCTACTAGGGTTTGGGTTGGCGTTAGGAAGAGCATCCAGCTGTAAAAATCCTGCTTCAAAAAAAAAGACTTGTACTTGGTGCAAGCACGTCTAACCCCCAGTTGGGGAAAAATGATGTTAAAATTCGGTTTTAAAAAAATGTACATGTAGAATGCACACCCATCTTGATGCTCCCAACCTGGTAGGTCACTATCATATTATGATGAAGATGATGATGATGATGATTAAACCTATGAACCCTTCTCTGACAACAGGTGGTGACAGGAACAGGCGGTACCCAGGGTGCAACTCTGGCAATAATTTCGAGTCCAAGATGGCAGCCGTCAGTGGACAGGATGGAGTTACCGGTTTGGTGATTTCATCCTTGGGAGACGTGCTCCATCTTCTGAAGTTGGTGAGTGGTTCTTAGTCTTCTTTTCTGTACTTCTTATTAAATCATCCCTGATTCGGACTCAACTTTCTCTCCCAGCCTCAGCTGTTTATCTTGTCCTCTTGCTGCATTTGTACTTGAGAATGTCTAAGAACCACTGCAATAAATTGGCATGTCCCTAATATTTGGGAAAGATGGTTACAAAGTTCTGCTGATTAACCAGGAGCTGCCCCTCCCCACCTGTAGCAACATGTCTGGGTTTCTGCATATAAGCTATGGTGCGGATGTGCTCTCCCTCAGCTGTGAACATCTCCACCCGACTGTTCCCAGTATCAGCCACAATCACACGCCCCAAACTGTCCACACAGATTCCTGAGGGGTTATTAAGATTCCCTGCTCCATTACCTAAACTGCCAAAAGTGGACAGCTGGTCTCCATTCTCACCATACTTTAGAATACGAGAGCCACTCCTGTCTATGACATAGATGTTACCTTTCGTGTCTACAGTTACAGACTGTTGAATGAATATTGATGTTCTAGACCCTGCTGCTGACAACTTGTTCATTTTACATGTTCCTCTCTGTGAGTAAGTTAACCACACAATCTCTACCTCTCTGGACCGACTTATAGTCAGTATGATTCTGTCAGAAAGCTCATGCCAGGCAATCCCATAGATTTCGCTGACCCTGCATGGACTAAACTTAGCAAGTACAATGCCCTCTTTGCTGTACTGTCGGATGTCATATTTGATGTAAGCTCTGTTCAAAACAACCCACAGGGTATTGTTGCGGCCCGTGGATATGGAAACTGGTTTCATGTTTCCTGTGGAGAAATTGCGAAGGAAAACTCCCTCCATGCTAAAGACCTGGATTCTTTCGTAGAACCCGTCAGCCACAAATATCTCGTTAGTCGAGGACACGGCCAGGCCACCCACTCCATAACAAAACTGCCCGCGGCCTCTTCCTTTCCCGCCAAACGTGACGTTCTTTTTCACTTCTGTGGGTAAAATAGAGTAAAACACTTAGCGGGTCAAACTATAACATGATAATAGATACTATTACACACACACGTACTACAGGTAGATCAATAGATAGATCGATAGACAAACAGACAGACAGATAGATAGATAACTATTAGACAAAAGATAGATAGGTAGATAGTATAAACATATACTCTATAGTGTAATCAGGAGAAGAGAAGTAGGTATTTGTACCCACCTTCACAGTGGTATGTTACGTCCAGGTACTTCTTTATGCCTGGGCAGTTTGGATATCGGTAAATATCTTCTGGGTACTCGTCACATTGCTGCAATCCCTGACATAGCAGCCTTACTTGGGACAGGATTGTGAATTTTCGCCTGTTAGAAAATATGAGAAGCATGTTAAAACTGTCAGTTATTGTAATTGAATTAAGAAGTTAATGACATGGACACATATTGATACATGTACGCCAAAAAGCAATTACTCAAGCAACTGGATATGGTTTTGAAAACGACTGTGACTGAGAGACCAGAGAGGAAAGCAGGTTTATAAGCACAACCTATTGATTGATATGCAAATAAAGTGAAGACCAATTTTTTTGGAAGTCGAAAAAGGAACAAAAGTCAGACAAGTCAAGACAAGATGATGCAAATTAGTCTGAAAGCTCCTGTTATACAGAACAGGAGCTTAAGTGTTGTCTGTCCTCGGGGCTGGGAGTGCCAAATCCCAAGTGCCCGAAAGATCGACCCGTAGCCCCCCTTCCCTGTTGAGGGTGGGGTTGTACATTCTTTCATTTATTTGCATATCAATCAATAGGTTGTGCTTATAAACCTGCTTTCCTCTCTGGTCTCTCAGTCACTGACGAAAGCTAGTGGATACTAGCTGAAACGTCTGACGTTTTCAAAACCATATCCAGTTGCTTGAGTAATTGCTTTTTGGCGTATCGTATTACCTGGATGTCTAACCTTCATCGACGTATTGATGTTGCTTGAGAATGCAATATCTTTAAATGTATGATACACGATATCTCAAGTGCAACTATATACTCTGACAGTGTTCCACATGCACAATTTACATACATGCCAAATGGCAAGAGAAAAAATTAAAAAGACAAACATTTGATATAAAGTACATTGTACATGTATGTAAGAGGAAATGAATAATCAGGTGTTAGCAAAAGTCCAATTACTCCATCCAATGATCAGATCAGTTATGGGGCTCCTACCTGCCATTGAAATCCTGGCACTTGTCACAAGACTTGAGCGTACATCCACAGCAAGAAATGTTTTCCCTCCGACCGTAGAATGCATCGTCAATCACGATCAGCTCATTCACTGCACAAGTCAGTCGCATTCTCTCCTTCTCACAGATTGTTTCTGCATCAGTGATAGCATCTTACTTTAAGGCCACACCAGTCTAATTTATTGGTTCTCAGATTCATTTAGAAATTATACAAAATGGGGAAAAAATTCTATGACAACCTCATCCATGTATTGTACAGTAGATGCAGCAGTTTGTCAAAAATTGTAGGATGTGATAATTTAATGTGTGCAAAATATTACATATTACACTTTTAAAAGTGTAAAAAATGTAAAATGCATTTCAACCCCAGAAGATACACTCAGATAACATTTTTCATACTTACATGTAGTATAGAATATATCAAGCTGCTCTAGTAGATAACTTCTGTTATCTCATACTTATTATTACTTTGTATAACTATTATGATATATATTTAGGCTGTAATACATGATTATACTAAATCTTACTTTTGTAGATGGTTGGGTTGGTACCATTGATACCACCAAGGCTGGGTGGGTTGGTACCATTGACACCACCAAGGCTGGGTGGGTTGGTACCATTGACACCACCAAGGCTGGGTGGGTTGGTACCATTGATACCCCCAAAGATGGGTGGATTGGTGCTGTCAAAGGTCCAGGTGGTAGCTGTAGCTGTGCTAGTCGCTTCTTTTGCATTCAATGTACTCAAGTTGTTGACTTCTTGCACAGGACTATCCTGGAAAAGCAACAAAAAGAAGAAATGTAAAAAGTAGCCCCTTTTCATTGTGTTTTTCTTTTTTTTTTAAATCTGAGAACCAACAAATCATACTGTTGTGGCCTGAAATGTAAAGTTGAGTGTTGACAAAGATGTTGATCTTACCTTTTTCGAGCGTAGGGCACTGTGATAAAGTCCTATGATTGTTCCCACAAGCATCAGGACAACCACCAAAGCAGCAAGAAAGCAACGGTGACCCCGATTCACTGCAAAACAGCCTTTTTGCAAATACATTACAGAACTATATATCCATGAATAGTTTCATCATGTTGGTAAGACGCTGAGTGAAGGGACTTTTTTTACACAACCAAGTCTTATATTCAGCGACACCTGAGTATGCTGCAATGCAATGTGAACCAGTCAGAATTGCTGGTTTCTGAACAGTTTTAGTATGATCCATGCTTCTAATATTTTGAGTGATGCAGGTCAAATTTGTCTGGTGCAGGTAATTTTCAATGTTAACTGCACCAGGTATGCAAACTAAGGTATTTCAAGACCTGGATTGTTAGAGATTATGACATCAGCTAGACCTAGATATTACAGTGTCATGAAACACAGGTTTATGACTCTGTCATCTTACCGTGAAGTTTATTAGCCTGTTGGTTTTGTATGTACATCGGATTCCGGTGAATTTCCTTTGCGTTTGGAGGATTGCGAAGCTTGTGTACATGTTTGGTGGTGTCATGACTGGAGTCATCTGAAGCCTGTTGGTGAACGTTTGTTGTTGTAGTGTTGTAGGTTTCATTATTGTACATGTTTGTAACAGCGTAAGGCTCAATGTCACCATCGTCAGTCACTGTACTGTCTGCATTTGCAGGATTGCGAAGCTTGTGTTCAGTAGTGTCATGCCTGGAGTCATCTGAAGCCTGTTGGCGAACATTTGTTGTTGTGGTGAGATAGGTTTCATTATTGTACATGTTTGTAACAGCATATGGTTCCATGTCACCATCGTCAGTCACTGTACTGTCTGCTTTGGGTTCTTCATCAATGTTTTCAACAGTGTAAGGTTTGATGTCACTGTCAGACAAGTCTTTATGGTTAGTCTCATAATTACCTTCATCTTCTGTGGTGTTAGGCTGAGATTTGTTATTAGCCTCTCTGTTGGAGTTGAAGTTCATGGTCACTGTACTGGCTACTTGCATGACGTTTTCAGTGTTTTGCTGTTCGTTTTCAATGTTTCCAATAGAGTTACCATCTTGTTCATTTTCCCCTGAAGCTGTGTACATGGCAGAGTTTTCAGCATGGATCGGATCAGATACAGAGTATACAGCAGTTTCCTCTGGGTTAGAGACATCATCATTATTTGCAATATAAAAATCCTCATGTGTACGTTTAGATTCATTGCCAGCTACATATGTAGCCTCCAACCTGTCTTGTCCTTGACTACTGGGAGAGTTTTGGCCACATGTTGACATTCTTGTTGGCTCTGCAGTAGTGCTCTCTGTGTACAGCACATTTTGATCTGAATGTTCATTTTGCCCTGGGCTTGCCGGCTCCTCTGGATGGTTTGTAAGATATACTGGACTGTTCTCCTCTCTGATAGACTGGTCCATTTTGACTCTGTTGGCAAAAAACTAGATTACTATTTGCCAATTGATATTATTGTGATAAACATAGTTTCTTGTATTACTTGCATGTGGCTCTCATGACAGATGCCTTGAAAAAATGCATGTTCTTTCACAATATTTTTGTCAATTGTTTGCAGTATTTAGCCTTGTGATTATAGTGAACAGTACCAATGAAACTAGCAAAAACAGCCCAATACAGGAGAGCTTGCTATGTGGGACCTGTTGGCTGCTATGCCAAAAGTGATCCAGCTCTGTATGAGGCAGACTAATTATGGGTGTTGAAAAGTGTTGATGTTATACAATGTTTAATGTACCAGTATTAAAAGAAAGTTTAGTATATTCACATTATGATTAACTAGACTCCCCAAGGACACCACCACACACCCCCAAGGACACTGCAAGCCCTGCTTCAACATTTCTGTTGCCAGAACTGAAAGCTAGGACCTTGTTAGCTGCATTTTATCTAAAACAGGTTTCTCTTGCTTTCCTAATTTGAAACTGCCGAATTTACTGATGTTCTAAATCTAAGTTTGTTCAGTTTTACTTCATATCTAGAAACAGTGGAAGATAATGAGGACCCTAGTCCTTCTATAATTAGTTGGGTTCTATGATTTTCAGTGGAGTGTTTCAAAGTGTACGCTTTCCTTTCATCTGTAAATGTGGACAAAAATGGGTGTCTTTTGGCAGCTTATTCAAAAAGCTGACTTTTTTGCAATTGTGATCTTGAGAGAGATGAATTGTATTTCATTTCCCACCATTTAGATGTGCAGTACCTACATGTATGTCTCGTGTGGTATCAATGGCTAAGAGGCTAGACCAGCCAGCAAGACAGGCAGGAGATCTAGTAACATCTTATGAAGATCCAAAGAACAAAGGACTAACTATGAGCTATACATGTATGTAACAGTTTGTCACGGGTTTGATTCCTTAAATTCTTAGACATTTTGCCCTTGGGAAAGGCACTTTACACAACTTTCTTCACTCCACCTACTATATTCCAGGTAGTAAGTGTTAACTGGGTACCTGACTTCAGTTTGAGAGGTGGTAGATGAGAAGGGTGCCATAGATTAAAACCCCACTTGCCTTAAAGGCTATGGAACTGTTACCTCTTATCTAGTACACATCCTTTTACCCACTGGTTTTTCTTACTAGAAAGATGTTTTTTCTTAATGGATTTGCTCAGTGCAAGGCAAAGAGACCACTTCTTGGCACTAACAACTAAGAAACATCAAAGCTCCAGACAAAAGGAGAAGCAGGGTTGCTTGGGAATGTAATTCATGACTCCACACTTACCGTTACCTGAAGCCTTGAAAACTGTTAAATGCTAAACTGGATGAAGCTAGCTCAAAGACTGCTCCTGGCAAGTTTTCTCCAGTCGACTCTGGGTGAGGTGTGGGCTCTCAGGTGTGGTAGACTAATATTAATAAGAAATGCTGATGGCGTGATGAAACAATATACGCTTATTGAACTTTTTTCTTTAATCTCATCTGGATGTGTTATGAGATGCTCCCATATTTATTCATCGTTTCTTCACCATACACCCATTAGAATTCATGTCCTTGGTTCTCACACATTTCTTACCAAAAATTTACTAACTTGGCACAAATCGTATATACAGCCAGGACTGCCCAACTAGCCAGGATTATAAAGGGATAACACTCACAACAAGAAAATCAAAGCAAATCAAATCATATCACTGTGTTGTACCGGTCCTTGGTGCTGAACTATTGGTTACACTAAGGGATTTCCTTGTTTGTTTGTTTTTAAGGCGGGAACGAGGAAATTAAGATTGTGAAGCCCATTCAAAGTTTGTAAAATTCGTGTAATGTAAGATTCCATGATCCAGTTGCTATGTGTGTGTGGGGGGGAAGGGGGGGTGGGGGTGTCCTGACATCCAATAGGATCATGGTGTTCTGAAATAATACATGTACTAGAGATCTTTCATCGTTATACTTAGGACAAACATGTCATGTCTGCCCTAGATGATGTTTTGTAGACTAATAAACAGGTTAAGAATTGCTGATGGTGTGATGTAACATTTAATATAACATCTTTAAAAGGACATCCCCTGGTCCAATAGCTGTTTTCCAATTGGGAGATGTTGTCAATACTGGTACATGTACATGAAATAAGACCACAACTATTACATGTACCATCATTTCTTGAGTTTAAAACTGAATAAAGCATACCGCAAAATGAATTAATAGTAAATACAGCAGAAGCATACTGATATTTAGAAAGTTATCATTGCAACAAGTGACTATTTAAGCAGTTTTTGACGCTGTATTTTTTTTCCACTTTGTTGTACAGGAATGAGTTCATCACTGTAGTGGAACCAACCATTCTTCTCCATGGGGAGGTGCAGGATATCTGCAGTGGTAATGAATTTAACTGCCAGCTTTACATGGCTACGTGCTTAATAAACTACATTAATTTCAAGTAAAATATTGTGATGCTTTTTTTTTACTATAGAGTGTCTGTGCTTCCGGAAATTATAGCCAAGTTTCATATTCGTCCAAAATCATAATTATACATTTTGTTATGTCCATGTATTGATTTTGTGATGATGTGATGTTTGTATGTTTTCAAAAGAATACAAATCATTTTCACCATCTCTATCCCTGGTAAGACTTCAACAATCAATAAAGTGACATTCCAGACTGTTTCTTTTCTTCTATTATTCCCCAAGAGAAGAGAAAGGCTGATGTACCAACTACAGTACTTGTCCTTGGTGCTGAAAGTGTGATGCCTCTACAGTTTGAAGTTCAACAACATCTTTTTAAGGTTTGATTCATAGGCAAGTAATGAGGCCATTACTTTAATGTAACAAAGAACATACATCGTGAAACAAACCTGATATATATCCCGGGATTCCCGTGCTCACGGCGTTTGTGGTTTTATAGACACTCCACATTTTCCTTTTCATAAACTGGGAAGAAAAGCTTCCATAAGCTGGTCACTTATGGTGCATAGTTAGAGAATGTCTGCAAACCTCTTCCTTTGGTCCTATCTCGACAAGATCGACATTTCACCATTTTTCAGACTTATTTTCTTCGAAAATAAAAAAAAATAAGACCTCAAGACATGCATTGTGGGAATATGGCCAACTCATTAACGAAACTTGCAAATTCAATTTAAACCAGCCAATCAACAATGACTTATAAGCACTGCAATGTTAATAATAGCAAATTCTGGGGTCGTCCAAGAGGTCCCGGGTTCAAACCCTGCCATGTCACCGATCTTGTGCCCTTGGGAAAGGCACTTTACATGTCTGACTTTCCTCGCTCAAGTGAAAACGAGTACTGTATTGTCCTCTGTGTTGATGACAGCATAAAATAATCTTGTGCGTACATTCGTGTGAATTTCGTTGACAGCGTGACACCGGCTTAAGAAAAACATTGTTTCTGGTGTTTTCGAGTTTCCAATCATCTGTTAAGCCATTGTAGCAGGAAACAGAGCTCCTATCGTAGATGGCGTCCTTCCCTGCCATAGGTGGCACGTTTTGTGATTGGTTGTTTGAAATACTGTTATATTAGCCCATCGGTCAATCTGGGATTGTCTTGCAAATCCCAGGTGCGAGCAAGCGACTATCCCCTGCGAAACATGGTCACAAGTGACAGGAAAGAAGCAACTGAAAGGGCACTTACGAACCAAAACCATCTGACGCTACCAAAATGTCGATCAGAGAAACTGAAACGATCTGTATCAAGCAAATCTCTAAAATGATTTCACCCGTAATTTTTTTAATATGTATGTATATCTATAATTTGATTTCTGTAATTTTACAATTGCAAATTTCTAAATTATGTCATTGTAACTGAATGTTTCTCTAAGGTTTTAATCCTTCGTGAATTTCAATATTACACTGTAAATAAGCGATAATTCCGATTTTTCGTGAGCCTGTCAATGCTAATAAAGTTTTCTTATGTCTTAAAAACAAATCCCTTTGTAGGTCAGCGGAAGGAAGCCAGACAATATCCAAAAGCCAGACAATCACCAAGGCCAGTACAGCTGTAAGTATTGTTGTGTGTGGGACGAGAGTGCCTCACATCGCGCACATTCAGTCGTCAGTCAGTCAGTAGAGCGTACCGTTAACTCACCAGTTCTGTACAGTAAGTACGAAGTTCGTGAGGCCAAAACTGTAAGGTCTGATCCACTCACATCGTGATCGACCCCTGATCATATTGACAAGTCAAGTGAGGTGGGTATCCGCTACCGGCGTGTCTCTCCTCAAACTTCCAGGCTGAAGTTACACGGACAGGGGTACAATCATTGAGCCACGGTCCGCTGCGTCACCACGGCCTAGTCGGCAGGGCTGACATCTTCAAACATAGCGATAAACAGGTATCAATCATATATTGTATCAAGCTTCAGCTGTCCAGATAGAACAGTCAGAACAACTGTTCCTGTTTAATTTTAGCTCTTTGTGTCAGTTATACCTCGTCACATTGCAGAGCCCTAGACCTGGGCAAACGAGTCTGCGAGCTCACGTTAACATATTCGGCATCAATCCGCCCATAGCCTTAAGGCCAGACTCACAGCACGCCAGGCCGATATTCGCTAGTTACCGAGCCTGGTCTACATTTGAAACATACGCTGGACTCCCTGGTGATTTTTTAATCTTGGCGACCTTATCAACAAATACGACCGAAGCTCGTAGACTGTGCGGAACGTACCATCAGTGTAGGACAGTACTACCTATCAGAAGCACTGACGACTCATCTGGTGTTACACAAGTTGTAGCGGAATAATTTCCAGTGAATCAACTTCTCAAAGCCTTTTCATCGATTTTGTGCAAGTAGTTTTTTTCCACGCCTGTAAACAATGGGACATGATATGATACTCGTAATTGTTCTTGCCCTAGCGGTGGCTTCTGTAATATCTGCCCAATCCTGCTTTCCTGGTTGCAAAGTGACAGACATCCAGCGCTGTATTCCCAATGAACACGCATGGAACAGGCATTCCAAATACTTCACTGTAAAACCACAATACTATACCAGTCCCCAGAAAGAGCGGTCTTGTATCTTATGCCCAGTAAATGAAAATGAGCCTCTTTTAACCTCATCGGTGAATACAAAGTGGTCAGTTGGTTTACAGGAGAGTACTGTTACCTACCCATGGCCAACCACGAGTCCCTTACTAGCTGTGAGAAGTTACCCCTTTGGCATGCTGTCAGCAAAGGGATTTCTGTCATGTAACAGCTCGGGAGTTCACTACCTGAGCCTTGTAGAAGGAGGCATCACAGACATAGACGCCAACAGTCTCGGTGTGTTTCTAGACTTGCAGCTTCTATATATGGATTACAACAACTTGTCTCACGTCAAGAAAGATTGGTTCTCCAGGTTAAGGCGTTCGAGCGCCCTGGTAGTCTTGTCTTTGTCGCACAACAAGATCGTAGACATTGAGTCGGAAAGCTTTGCACGACTAGGCATGCTGAGAGTGCTGTCACTTGAGCATAACCGTCTCCGGGATTTGCGCTCTGAGTGGTTTTACGGATTGACAAACTTAACACGACTTAACTTGTTCTCAAACCGACTCGGAACCCTTTCGAAGACTGCGTTTGTATTCCTAACCGAATTGAAGCAGTTGGACATGAGAGAAAACGAGTTGATAAACCTCCCCAAGGGATTTCGTTGGCCACAGAAAAATCCCCTGTACCACCTTTCCGGGAGAGGGCTGCTCGGTGCGCATGACCCTACGTTTGAATGGCATGCCATAGTGATGTCTGATTTGCCTTTCGTTCAGATCAGTGTCAACGGTTTGAGTAAATACCCGACACATGCTGACAGGTGGTTCAGGTATGAAACACGGACAAAAGGCGGTACAAGATTAACAACTTACGGCATCGGCAACGGGTACGGAAAATTAGCGTATAGCCAGAGTCACGCAATGGAAGAGCAGAAGTATCCTGTTCCCTTCTTGATCATAGCTGCCATGGAGGGAGAAGACATGGAGTCTATAGACAAAATAAACTACTGGTGTAGGCGGTTCTGGGCCGGGGATGGTACAGTAAATGTAACGTTGGGAGCGAGCAAAGAAACTACGGTACAGCTCGCTTCCGTTGTTACAAAGAAAGACAACGAAACAGTAACTCTGATTTCCGTATTGTTCAACACCGCTTTGTCTCCTGATGAAGACATATATGTCAACAACCAGAAACAGGCCAACAGTACAGGCGCGAGGGTCGTAACGTGCGTCCTGGTCAGTGGGATGAATAAATCCGAGGCCTCCTTCGAAGTCTTTAAAAAACGCGGAGAGCCAGAGACCGTGCACGTGCGCCACAATATCAGCGACCAAAGTTGGAACAACAACACCGCCGTCAACAAGACGGATCTAAACAGAGATAGCACGTCAATAGAAAACAGTACGACTTCCCACCCTCAGGGGCCTACCCATATTGATGTGACTGTAACGGTACAATCAGAACTACCGGATCAAGAGCAACCGGTGCTCTCTGACGGTGTGATATTTGTGATCATAGCTGGAATATTTCTAGACGCGGTGGTTGGCGCCTGCGTGGTTAGAATGCTGGTAAAGAGGCGATGCCCCACCCGTCGTCATGACGACCGTCGCCATGACTACGAGAACGCCGATGACGACCCACATATCTACTGTGAGATACCCGATGTCCCGGTCGGTCCTCCACCCCGGCCTGTTGTGCCCGACACACGGGGGGTTGGTCAGGCCTCCACGTCGAGAACAGCCGAAGACGACGACTCAAGCTACTCGGAAATTCCAGACGACTACTTTAACTTCAACAACCCTGGATACCGGTATCATCGTAACTCGCTGCCACTGGATGATCACGACTACTGGCCGATATTGGATGAGTTCTACGGTTACGAGAACACCGGAAGGCTGGCGAACTGGCGCCCGTCCTCACTGCCGCTGACGTTTGAGGCGACGTACGAAAACGTCAAGTACGAGAACGTTGGACGCTGGCAACGGAAACCTTCTGATATTGACTATACACCAATGAATGGGAGGGTAGGGAAGAATGCAGGCGGCATTACAAGTAGAAGACCTGCTACGGAAGACGCCGAAACGCTGGCGAGCTGGCGTCCTTCTTCACTGCCACTAACACTTGAGGTGACGTACGAAAACGTCCCGTACGTGAACGTTGGACGCTGGCCGCGACAACCTTCCAACGAGCACCCAGACTACAGGAATGCCATTCACCTGTGTGAATTTCTGGGCTACACACCATTGATGACTACTGGGAAAGTAAGGAAGAAGACAGACGCCGTTGCCCGTGGGAGACCTGCTACAAAAAGGCAAAGGTCCCGTGACGTGATTATGAGAGGGGGGTACGGGACAGAGTCACGGTCTTCTGTGGTAGAGTCTGGCGGTCACAACATGGCTGCGCGTGTTGGCTGGAGAGTCAGGCAGGAGGGTCGAAACAACATTACGTACAACGTGACTAAGAGATTCAGTGACCGACGGAGGAGCGCATACCAATCGCCAAGAAGAGTTTCTGTCTCAATGTCTAACAATAGGGCTTACAAGTCACATTGGAAATGGGGCAGAGCCTCTGTTCACAAGTATTGGAACCAAGACATACCATTGTCAGTAGAAACAAGAACATGGTTGGGAAGAGTGAAACCTGGACTCCGTCATAGTCTGTAAAGACGGAAGTGTGCACTTTTGATTCAGTCAGATCTATAGACAGATCCATAGGAAGTGATAGACTGAAATAGGCCTAGCCGTCTTGCCATTCAAAAGAAACTCATGGCCTTGAACAGGCTTCATCGTGTAGCTGTGAGAAAAAGTTGTTGGACAACTGAAGAAGGAAGCTTTATCAAAAGCAGCACATGTGTAATATATTAGGCACAAGGTAATAAACCTACATCGGTGTAAATGTTACATTGTTGGTATTTATTTGATGGCTCGATGGTGATTGGATTGATGAATGAGTGAAGGAAGGAAGGAAGGGAGGGAGGAAGGAAGGAAGGAAGGAAGGAAGGAAGGAATGGGACTACCCAATGTGATGAACGTACAAGTTTCAGCATTGTTCAGCCGGTATCTCCACCTGTATATTTACCGAGAGACCCGTATTAAAAATACCGCAGTACACGGCAGAGACCAAAACATACCGTTCCGGGTCAGAGAGTGACTTGCAGTACCCCCACCGGTCACTAGAGGTGAGAAAGTAAGGATTCTGTGCTTCAACTATAAGTAATTCGATAGGTCTGTGTGTTTTGATCCAACTTGCTCAAACTTCCATGTTTTCGTTACACTAGAAATACAAGTTATGCAGTTAGACACATTATCATAACATGACGTCGCCGAATGTTTTTTAACATCATACCTCATTAGTACCATAACATCAAACATCATTAGTAAAACAAGGGAAATCGTAGATTTCAAACCTCCGGGTTTTTTTGTGTTCTATTGGTTTAGGTTATTTGTTTGTGTGTAGTATGAAAGTTATGTGCGTAATATGTTTGTATGTGTTTGATGGCTACTGACGGTTGGTTCGGTATGGACTGTTGATTAACGTGTCTCACAGTCTGACAGCCTGCACCGTCACCCGCGCCATTATCCCCGTCGTCATCCCGCGCCGTCATTGCTGCGCCGTCACCCAAAATTTTTATCGGAACCAGACACCCCTCTGTTTGACCCCTTTTGAATGCTAAGACCCAAAACTGCAACCGCCCCATTCCTTAACAACATGGTAATTACCATTTTCAGCATGGCGGGGGTGTCCGGAGCACTTAAAAACCTTTTTATTTCGACGCCCATAAACACATATGCAATTAAACAAAAACGTTCTGCATCATCTGCAGCCCAATAGCAATACGTATACCGAACCACAGACAAATCCGTCCAGCCGATCGCGAGAAACAGCTGCTGACAGAAATGTTTCGAACCATAGTAAAACCTCCTCGCGGAAGGATATCTCCTTCCCCGGAGGTAATGAACACTTGTAGAGACTAACAGTCTCTTTTGGTTATAAAATACCTGCGCCACTTTTTTTGTTTGTTTTACACACCCATTTGCAATGATTTCTCTCACACATACGGGTAAGGCGTGCACCGATATGGCTGTAGTATAAAGTAGGTCAGCAGTGAAAGAAGGTCTTGGTCCAGAGGCAGGGGACACCTGGATGACTCAGGTGACTGAGTCCTTATCCATACCGGGGCCGCAGAGATGTTTGCATTGTCTGGTCAGATAGAAGAGAGAACAGGGCCGTGCATTTAGAAGGAGTGGGGTGAAGGACCGTAGACAGGGAGGATCTAAAGGGGTTTCTGAGATTCAGCGAAAGATATGCTCGAGTAAAAGTTTGAAGATTGCCTGCTAAAAATAACAATCGGTTGGTCGTCTTTTCTATCCCCCTCTTGTATGGCGCTCTACACAAATTTGGTGATTCCATGTCGTCTTTCGAAGGGGAGGACCATTTAAAAGTTGAGCATCGGTCAGTTGAAAGGAAAAAACAACGAAACTTGCCCCAAGACGATTGTTTCTGATGAAGCCATCACGGAAAAATTGAGCAGCAC